AATTCTAATATAACACCATAGAGTTAGGCCTAGCATTTTTCTTTTTCATATTTGTAACTCCCTTCTCTTAACAGTGACAGACTGCATTGCCACTAACTTTATATACTTCCTGTTTGACCCCATCTGAACACTTGCCCTCCCATCTCTCTGCATGTACTTCTTTTGAATTCTGATAACTCGTGCAGCCTTCCCCACTGGCGGACATCCTTGTGGGAACATGGGGTCTCACCTTTTGGATATCCTCATCACTTTAAATATGCTCTTGTTACTGGGCTCTGGGACTCCTCCTAGAGATTCTTCCCAGGTTCATGGCCTGAACAAAGAATCGGACCAAATAAGCACAAAAGGTAGTAAGATTTTATATTTATCAAAGGCAAAAAAAGAAACTTGTTCTGCAGAGCAAGTGCAGGCTAATTAAAAAGAAAAAGAAGTACCCTCTCAGAGTGAGAGCAGATCGCTGTGAAAGGGTTCAGTAACTTAACGGCAGCATCTTTTGTATGTAGGCCATCTTATCAAAACCTTGCCTGATTTCTTGCAAGACAATTTGAAGGTGTACTTTCTGATTAGTTCCAGGTGCAAAGCTCATGTATATGTTTCCTGGATCTGTATGATTCGTAGGTCTCACCCACTTGCCCAGCCCACATTGCTACACCCTAATCTTTTGTCTTACTCTGATTTGTTCTTGCTTAAGTTCAGCCCTGTACTGGGTCCAAGACTCTTGCTTTTTCCTGCATGTTGCCTCCTCACCCAGATTGGGCTCTGACACTATACTTTAGGCTCCCCACTCCAGACGTGCTGGTTTCAGGTCTGTGAGAAGCTCCAAGATTCTTCACCAGGTATACTCTGGTGGACATTGCCCACTGCATCTTACTAAGTCACACTCTGTTTTAGGTTGTTGCTGTACTCATTAGTTGTCCCTTTCTCTGAGACTAGTCCAGGCTTTGTTGCTGCAGACTGAGCAGTCCCTCTGTAGGGAACCCAGGTAGCCTCCCGAGGTTTTGGCCTCCGTTGCTGGGCCTGTCTCTCTGCCGACTCTGGCAGCTGTGGAGGACAGCCCCACTGTTCTCTTCCCTATGAGCACTGACACTACTCCTGGCCAGTCCCTGAAAAAGAAGGCTCTGGTGCCTCTGGGGTTCTGATGTTGTCTACTGCCTGGCTCTCCAATGAAAACTGACACCCTTGTGTCAGTTGGGCCCCAAAGTAACAGCACACTGGGTTTCCCATACATACACATCTCCCTCATGCCCTGGGTCCTAGCGTGATGCTTGAGGACACCTCCCAGTGCCCTGCTTAGTAGTTTTGGGACCGAAGGAAGGACAGGGAAAACGCTAATGTGTGAATGTCTGCAGGATCTGAAATGACCTCCTTTTTATTCCTGGCATTAATAATTTATGTCATTTCTTTTTTTCCTGACTTGTGTGTTTCAGCAGTTTATCAATTTTATTAGTGTTTTCAGTGAATTACGTTTTGGTTTGCTAATGCTTTTCAAGTACACATGCTTACATTTATTTTTCTGATTTTTATTATTTCATCCTTCCTATTTTGAGTTTTAATTTGCTGAGTTTTAAAAAGTTTCTTGAAGTGGATGCCTAGATCATAATTATTTTCAACCCCCTCCTCTCTTCTTGCTGAAATGTATGCACTTGGAACTAGACATTTCTTTCTGTGTACAGTGTTAGACAAGTATTTGTGTGTATTATTTTAGTCATTCTCCTCAATATATTTTCGATGACAGTTATTTCTTCGTGGATCCATAGTTACTTAGAGTACATTTTAATTTCTGATTATTTAGTTTTCTGTAGGTTCTCTATTTGTGTTTTTGTTTCTGATTTAATCCTACAGTGCTCATAAAACATCCTGTTTTGCTTCAAATTTTGTAAAGTATGTTGTGCTGCAGTTTATTCCCCATCTCATAATCAATTTGGCAAGCTCTCGCAGGTACTGTAAAAGTGAATTCTGCAGTTGTTGAATATTTACCATTTCCTTAGAGCTGTAGTTGTCATCACTGTGTTAAAACATAAGATGAAGAACTGCTGGTCACATTCCATATATACATGCATGCTGTTCCATGAGGGCAAAAAGAAAAAGTTTTATCTTGCTCTAAAGGTGCTGTATAATATGCAGGTGGTAAATTAAAATGCTTAAGATATATCTGAATTGAATCCTTTCTTAGATGTAACATTTTCATTACATGTTGCATTAAATGTTTCATTAAACTTTCTGTCCACAGAAAGTTCTTTTTACAGTTGATGTTTACTGTGCAGTATAACCATAATATAAATTCTGTTACTTTATAAAACAAGTGCCTTAAGATTTTCTAATATCAATTAAATTTAAGCCAATTCTTAGTTGCTACATTGTTCAGACAACATGAAAGAGTTGTCAGAATAAAAATTTAAAAGGGTAGAAATTTTCATGATTATATAATTAAGTGAAATTTTAATTCTACATTGTATGTTCTGCAGTTGGACAAATAAAATACAAAAGTAAAAATAAAAATGTGACATTTTCAAAAATTTGAGCATATGCTGTGGCTAAAATAAATGTTCCAATTCACTACTTAAATGTTGTTTTTCTGAAATCTAGAAAATAGTAGTAAGATCTACCCAGTAAGCCTACTTAGATATCTTCAGCTATCACAAATATAGCTTGTGTGATTTGTGCCTTGGTTTCTGCAGAAAAGTGCATCTAAATGAGAGCCAGTGGGAAGCTAATATTAAAAAGCGAATCAGAAATAAGGCAGGAATTATATGGTCCCAGTCACAGCAGAAGAAAGTTGAGGGAAACATTGTTTCAGTGGGGCTGTTATTCTTGGAAAAGAAGAGCCATACCGAGAAAAATATAATCAATATAAACTCTGAGATCAAATTGCAAAATCGGAGGACACAGAGTGCCAGACCTGGATTATACTTGCTCTGCACCCAGTGACCTCCTCGTCCCTCCTCCTGAATCTATGTTGCTCAGGCGCGTGTTATTTTCCATACAGATTGATAACGGTCAGTAAGCTAACCCATCCCTACCTTCACATATTTTTGTGACTTCTGATCAAACTAAGCCAACTATGGCAAGCCCATTTCTCCTGCCAATGGTAGGTTTAGAAAGACACAGACTCACTTCTGTCCAGTGAAATCTGTCAGACTGTGTACTGAGCCTGCTGGGGAGGATCACCTCTCCTTTCAGAGAGAAGGGAAAGAAGATGGTGTGCTGGCTGTCATGCCACTGTGCTGGGAAATTCTTAGTTGACTTGTGCTGCAATAAGTATTTAGGTATCACCATTGAACTTGATGGCTGATTAAATATGCATTGTTAAAGAAGTAGACAGTGTTGGTATAATGATTTATAGACTATTGTTGGAGACTTACTTGAAAACAGTAGAAATCCACCTCTCAGGTTGTTTGTTTCATTACTGAACAAACAGATTTGTCTCAAGTTTTCAGGTTCAGATGCTTGGGTGCCTGTCATGTTTCTGCTCCATCCTTAAGTTTTTCACATGCTTGTCACTTCACAGTCACAAGGTGACTGCTGCACCCTCAAGCAGGAGGGGAGATGGGAAGGGACAAAGAATGGACAGAGTGAATTTTCCAGCAATTACCAAGAAATCAGAAGCTTTCTTAGAAACCCAATTCTGGGATCCTCTGCTTGAATCTTACAGGCCACCGTTTGTGGGCAGGGGCAGCCGCCTGCGGGGCCAGCTTCAAGCTCACCACCCACAGAAGAATTGAGTCACCCAGGTGCTTAAAGGCACTTGTTTCTGCTGTTCTGAAACTGTGTTTTTGTTGGCTGCAGCTTGCTGTGTGTGTAATCTATTTTCTCTTAATTAGCTAGAGGTATATCCAGGAATCCATTTTAAAGTTAGTATACTAGACTTTGGAGCTCAGATCCTTAGTTTTTTAATTCAAAATTAGAGCTTCTGATCAAATATATGCATTTCTGCGAAGCCAGTGCCAATTAGTGTTTCTTATTTGAACCAGATATTGTAGTAACTTTTAAGTGAGCCTTTCAGTTTTTATGTGAAGTTTATCCACTGTTAGGAAGGACAGAGAGACTGTGTGAAGTATTTAAACTGAGCTCCATGGAAGTTATAATGCAAACTACCTTTCTCAGTGTTCCTTATGAGCAAGGAGATCCATAGTCCATTAAAAATGAGCAGTGTTTAATATTGATGCCATAGTCCAGGTTTATCTCCACAGACTTGAGGCGCCTTTACATTGTATCCTGAGGTCTGTTTCCATCTCCCCTCCCGCTGCTACCTTCCTCCTTGTTCAAAGGTGCATTTATTTCAATCATGGACATAAATCATGGAGGGAAGATGGAAAAGACCATTTAAAAATGAAGTAAATGTAGTTCCCCATTCCTGCTCTCTGCGGGGGATGCTTTCTGCTATGCATAAGGTGGGCTTAGTCTATAGAACTAGGTCGGGCACAGGGCAGAGTGGCGTCCGTGCCAGGGGGAGCAGAGATACAGCTCTGTACCTTGGCTGGCCGCTGGGAGTCAGGGAACAGGGTCTGGGCCTGGGTCATGGGGTGCCTTATTTAGGATTCTAGACCTAGGATATGTTTGGAAGAACAGTTCTGCACTGCTAAGCTAAATGCTGGTTTATGTTCATCTCAGCCACAGAGGAAAATTGATAAGGTTTTCATATTTGCTTTCCCTACTAAGTTTTTATTGCTGTGGCTAGAAAGGCAAAGGAGTACTAGATGGAGTATGTATGTTGCCAGGCATATCGAGAAAGAGAACCAAATGATCTATTGAATAATTGTTTTTATGATGTATAGCAGGCTCTCTCTTACTGTATAACTTCTTCCTAATCCTACTGTGCAGAAGAAGAGCAAGGAGCCTGATCATTTTATTTCTGTATCTGAGAAGAAAACTTACTTGCAGGACCTAATATCATGTTGCCATGACTTAAATCCAGTTTTTAAGAAAGTCACAGTTATTGTAGCCCGTACCACATGCTGAGGCTGACTGGAAAGAGTGACCCACTTCTTAATCATTGTCAGGAAACTGCATTCAGAGAATGAGAAGAACACCCCCTCTGGACGAGCTGCAGCCGCCGCCGTACCAGGACGACAGTGGGTCTCCCCATCTCTCGTGCACACCCTCAGAGATTGGGGACAGTAAATGTGAGTTTTCCCACTGCAGCAACAGTCCAAGATGCTCATATAACAAGTGCCCAAGTGAAGGAAGCACAGGTCATGAAGTAGAAAGTTTCCATAATAAAGGATATGAAGAGGATGTTCCGAGTGACAGCACTGCGGTCCTGAGCCCTGAGGTAAGTACAAAGTTTGAGTGATTGTTGTTGGAAGATGATGCCCGTGCTCTCCTCCTGCTGGGAGGGGTGTTAGCCCCTCGCAGCTTACTTTGCCAGCTTTCATCCTTCACTGGTCCTCATGCCCCACCACCTATGCTGTTAGCACTGCCTGCCTGGTCGCCAGGACCTGCGCTCCAATGAAAAGACTGCAGGAGAGAAGGCTGCTGTTTTTAAACACTTTAATAACTAGAACAATTTACCTTTTTCTCTCGTCTGGAAGTTTTTTTTTTTTATTATAGGTTTTTAAATTTTAATTTCTTGAGTGGCACTTTTGCCACACGTGCTGGGTACTTTCATTGTGGCCATTTGGTCCGTGACATCTTAATTCTTTCTTTATGATCCCTCATCGTACTTCTCCCATCTGCTCACATTTGTAGTACTTCTGTCCCTCTGTTTCTTTTTATCTTTTGCTTTGCTCTTTATTCCTACTTCGGATTTGTCATGTAAGAGAAATCGTATGGTATTTAAACTGGTGTGTCTGATTTATTTCACTTAATCTTGTTTTCAAAGTGCATCCATCTTCCTACAAATGGTTCAAAGCCATCCTTTTTTATAGCAGAATAGTATTCCGTTGCATATAAATACTACATTTTCTGTGTCCATTTGTCTGTTGATGGATATTACCACTAGACTGTTACAATGTTTCACAAGTCTTTCAAAATCATCTTACCATATTTTCATTTTATAGAATATGAAAGAGATCAGTGATGATTAGCTTTATGATCAAATTTGAATTCATGACATGCATTTAGAGTGTTTGGTTGGTTGAGTTAAAGTTGCTTTTTTGAGCAAAAATGCAACAATGACAACAAAAATCATTGCATTTTCAAAATATTGCCATTTTTAAAAGAGAATTTATTTTAGTCTTTCTATAACATTGAAAACAATAAAGGTGATCTAGAGGGCTTCACAAGGTGGTTTTTATTTTTAGGATTCACTTTCCTTAAAAGTTTAGAATTGACAGTTTTACTACTTTTATTTCTGAAATACTGTAGTGTCTGTGTTCTTTGATGGTGAACCTTCTGATCTGTCAAACTAAATAATGAAACTAGTTTCCCAATGCACAGACCAATTAAGCTATGGATAGAGTATTACTTTTCTGGTATATCTACTGTTACAGTTTCTAACCTAGAAAAAGACTTCACATTGATACTTTATCAGTATTTCATGATTTTCCAAGAATGTTTGTATTCTAGCAATTAAACAAGTTTAAAGCAGGTATTTTGTGGTTTTTTGCATAGCGTATAGATAGCCAACAGTTAACAGTGAAGCCTGGATTGTAGAATAAACAGCAATAGATTTTGTCAGTCATGCTGGGAATCTTGCTGTAGGCTTCTATAGTCAGCTCATGTAATTCTGCCTGTCATAGTTTCAGGAAGTTTATGTTGTCTCATAAATGAAAATAGTAAGATTCAGGGACTTGCAGTTTGCCTAGGCACCATCAGCTTTTAAATTCTGAAACTACAGTTTAGAACCAGGTCTGTCTAAGAACATAGTGCTTTTAGTGGTTATGTTGTATTGCCTGCTTGATCTGAGTCATCATGTGGGAGATCACTTTGATGCAGTGCTGCCCACCACACATGCCACCAGAGGACCACACAGACCACATTTAGTTACACAGATGATATGTATGGTTGTACACATTTTTATTTTAATTCATTTCAGATCCAAAGCAATAAGTAAGAGGAGCAAAACGAGGTAAGTTAACATACCTAGGCTATCAGTAGGTGTAGGCAGAAGACCACAGTATTCATTATGGTTTGGCATGCCTGTCCACTTGTCAGCATTCCCATTTATCACGTGATGACAGGGATCATAATTGAGATTTGCACAAGGCTACCAAAGAGCCAACAACCTATACTTAATTTACAGAAGAGATGCAGGAGTGAGTACCACTGGCCACCCCTGAAACTTGCCAGTTAGCCTGCTGAAAGATGCAGATTTTCATCTGTACTCTTTTTGAGTGAAACAAAGCTGTCAGCACAGAGCAGTGTGATTTTGGCTTAGGTTTTCCACCCTTTCTATAGGAATATTCACTTTTTTAATGCTAGCTTCTACTCTTTCTGTGTCTTACCAGTTGTTAACTTAGTTGCTACATTTAGAGTATCTACGAATTCTGCCTCCATGCTGCTTTCCGTTGCCTTTCTCATTGTCTGTGATTTACTGTAGTGTGCCTGTATTTCAGAAGCTGTTAATTTACTGTGTTAACATTGCTTTTCTTCACTCTACTTGTTCTTGTGTCTTCTTCACTCTACTAGTATCATTGAATACAGTCAAGCAAATACACATCACATAAATATTTAGGATGTGCAGTGCTAGTAGTCTATGGTAGTATAAATTTACCCTTACATTTCTTCAAGTTTATTTTGCCTCTGTAATAGATATTATGTATCTAATGGAAAATTCTCTTTGCTCTTGGTTAATAAAGGTAGTGGTTATCATGGAGCCTTTCTATATACACAGTAGAGCCGAAAGAGGAAAGAGGGCTCAGAAAAATTGTCTGACTGCGTCCATAAGTTCTTTTGATGACCTGTTGATCACTATTTTTTAAACTTTGAACCAAGCACTTTGAAAGTAGACAGATTTTCTTAATGTCTATTGAATAATGCAGATAGCATCTTTTATCTACATTTTTTACCCTTTAACCCTGAGGTTTGTAAGAATTGTTGGAATTCTAAAAAACAAAACAAAAAACCAAGACAAAAACAAAGAAGCAGAATATTAGAGAGGCACTAGAAAAATCAAATTCACAGCTATGTGTCCAGGACCTTACAAAAATGTTTGTTGCCTAAAAAATCCTAGACATCATGACATTGTTTTCAAAAATATTTAATTGAAGTGTCAAAGATGTATCTTTAATTACAATTATGAAATAGTATACAAGACAGCTGCTTAACCTATTTTAAGAGTAAAAATGTTTATTGTGATTACTCATACACTTTAAAAAATTTCAATTCTTCTATGAAAATGTGTTCCTTCTCCCCAAATACTATTCTTCATTACTCATCTCTCTGTTCTGTATATGATACCAATTTTTTTTGTGCCTAGGATCGAACTCACAACCTTGCATTTGCCAAGCAAGCACTTACACTGCTGAGCCCAGCAGTGAGCCCAGAAAGAAACCCCAGCCCTATGATGCTAATTTTTATATGAGTTACAAGTTTAATGATTATGTGGTTTTTGGTTTTGTTCTGTAGAAAGAGTCTCCCCTACACACACATACCCCTAAAATAGAGACTGGCACATGGTAGGTACAGTAGTTAAGGTGAAATCTGAGGACTTGGACATACTGGCTATAAGAGAGGATCCAGGACTTGATACAGTCTCTGTAGGCATATATCCCTAGTCAAAACTCGAAGTTTTTTGAATAAATAGAAGAAAGAAAACCTAGGGTCAATAGTATTCACTGCCTTAGTAGACACTAAATACAAGTATAGGAATGTCTTAGTTAATTTTCTCCTTTTTGAGACAAAATACCTGACATTCAGAGTTAGGAGAGGAAATGTTTATTGTAGTTCACAGTTTGTAGAGGTTTCAGTCTGTAGTTGTCTAGCTCCAAGACAAAGTGGCATGGCAGAGGGGCATCATAGAGAAGAAATAGGTCGTGATGGGCAGAAAGTATCAGAGTATCGAACAAAGCAGCAAGTGACAAACAGTGGCATTTCCTTTCTGTCCTTCATATGCTGCCCAGGCTCGTGCCCTAAAGGCAAATAGCGTTCACACCCAGAGTTCGGCAGCCTTAATCCCAGTATTAGGGCCCCTAGATCCAGCACCTCCAAAAAGCCCCAGCATAACCACATGAGACTTTGGGAGACATCTAGATACAACTCATAACAAGGAAATTATAAAATTGGTTCACATTTTAAAATTAAAAATAAGGTTCATTAAAATATTTCAAGAGACATAGTGATGTGCTTGAAAAGTCAGAAACCTAGCTTGAGCATTGTCAGTAAGGTCACCTGTAGTGTAGTCCAGAGGGACAGGCAGGAATGTGAGATGCTTGCCAGTAAAAAGGGAACAACTTGTTTCAGTGTTACAATTAGTATGTGCACCCTAGTCTTACACTTTTGGCATATATATTCTTCTATTGCAACAGTAATTAATATTAGAAAATAATGTATTATTTTTAATTCTGGTTAAAATTAAATAAATATGGTTTGTAACTTGAAGAATAAATATATGAGTCCAATAAATACTTTCAGGGCTTTTAAATTTCCACATACCACATTTCATCAGTACCTAAGTCTATATATGTTAATATTCTATTGTAGATGGGACCGTTTTAGAGTAAATCCTGCAAATAGAACCAAATATTTCAATAGTACTATAATTATTATGTATACTCTCTTCTTCTGTGGCCTAGTACTGACAGTTTCATTGTTAAGAAAGTAAAATTTAGCAGTTACCTGCCAAAGGAACAGGGTTGTACATTAAAGCATATGTTTTAAATTCTCATTTATAAATAAAAGTATACAGCTTTCTCAAGATTGTAGTAGTGCATATTACATTTAGAATGTATTTTTTATCATTGATTTTAGTTTAAATTACCACTTAAATGCTCTAGCCCTATAGGATAGTTTTTTAATTGTAGCTGACAGCTATTTATATTTTTTGTGATGGTAAATAAAGCTTGTTTTCACATTACCCTTTTAATGAACTCTCAGGCATGTATTTACATGCTGGATTAAATAATAGAGTTAAAAACTGAAAACATTTAAATTTGCTTTTTTTAGGATATGTCAGCTCAAGGATCATCTTCACAGCTTCCTAAACCTTTTGATCCTGAGCCAGAAGCTAAATATGGCACCCTGGATGTGACTTTTGACTATGATTCACAAGAACAGAAGCTTTTGGTAACAGTGACAGCTGTCACAGACATCCCAGCACATAACAGGGCAGGTGGCAACTCATGGCAAGTACACCTTGTTCTTCTACCTATAAAGAAACAGAGAGCAAAAACCAGCATCCAGAGAGGACCGTGCCCTGTCTTCACAGAAACATTCAAGTTTAATCATGTCGAATCTGAGATGATCGGAAATTATGCAGTTCGCTTTAGACTATATGGTGTACATCGCATGAAAAAAGAAAAGATTGTGGGGGAAAAGATTTTTTACTTAACCAAACTGAATCTTCAAGGGAAAATGTCATTACCTGTGATATTGGAACCTTCTTACAATCATTCTGTGAGTATCTCACCAAATGATTTGGGTATAGTTTATGTTCATGGTATATGGTAGACACAATTTTAAAAATCTGTAATCAACCCAACAACTTTCTCAGTCAAGAATTTCTAAGCCTTGGATAGGTAGGTATGTTTTTTTTTCTTTGCTATAAATGTTACATACACTTAAATGATTTTTTGTAGATGGTTTATCCTTCATAAGAGTTCTACCCCCAGGTCCAATGTGTATTCCTTGTTCAGCATACATTAAACAGTTGGTTATGGGGTCAGCCACGCTCCTTACAGAACTGACAGTTTTCTTGTGAGTTAAAACTAGGTAACACATAGAGAGCTGTCTAGCCACCTGTTTTAATCTGCTATGTTGTAGAAAATGTTTGCTCTTACATAACATGTACAGCTTCCTAGATCCTGACTGGTTATCTTTCCAAAACTGCTGTGAAATTATTTTAAAAGTTCAAAACAGTCTAACCTCATTATTCTTTCCACTTTCTTAAAGATTTTGAATTCAAAATCTGAGAGAACACAAATTAGGTTTCTAGTTAATTCTGGTTTTCCTTTAGATCATAATCACTAACAAACCAATCTCTCTTCCCCTTCTCATATTTTTAGCTAGGTTCCCATAAGGTATTGCAGATCACCGGAGAGAAATATCTCTTGTAATCCAAAAACGAGCCTCTTACACCCCCAACCTCGAGTCCAAAAATGGGGCAAGACATGTTTTTTTAAAAAGCAGTGCTGATTTATTTTATCCTCGGCCCAGCGACACAATGCAGTTGGAGTTTGCAAAAGCTGTGCGTCTCCCTCAAAACCTTCCAGAGTTTTTGTAGAAAGCACAGTTTACAAAGTAAGGGGTTATGGGCGTGGATCAGGAAATCTGCTAAGGAATGAGGAAGATCTTTGTTTCCCTTTGCAGAGGACAGAGAAATCTTGCAGGAATTAACAATCCTTTGTCAACTTATTTTAGCACTCAATTTTAGACAACATCTGTTGTTTGCAGAGGCAGCAAGGTTAACATACCAATTAGGTCAGGTTCCTAGGGATTTACAATTCTTTACAGAGGGGAATGTAACATATCAATTAGGTCACTCAGAAAAAATGATGCATACAGAACAGTATGGCTGCGTCACAGGTACTTTGGTCATACAACTTAGGCATAACACAAAGATAATGAAGCTCTTTTTGCTAGTGTACAGCAATATCTACACTGTTTATTTAAACCAGAGAGATACATTATGCCACATAGGTATTTAGATTACAAGGAAATCTGTGATGAACAGCAAGTGTAAATTATGATTTATATTTATTCCTCTGTTATATTAAAAAGCATTTTCATAATATAGATATACATATCTATAATATACATATAATATAGGCTATATTTAATTTTTAAAACAAATATAATATTTGAGGGCTGTTTATAAGGTTTTAAATGTGTGAGCATAAGTCCACAGTTGAAGTCTCCTTGCATTCACGCTAGTCAGCATACCTTGTGGGAATACTATGTGCAGCTAAACTGTACCATTTTAACTGTAGGACTTCAGCATCTCTGAAAACACAAAGGTGTTGGTGAATATAATATTTCCAGATAGGTTTTCAGGGCAAGATTTAATCTTTATTGATATACTTGTTTTAAATTTTCAGAATTAATGTTTTGGTCAAGCGTCTTTTTAAATTAGCTGTTTTATAAGAGAGAAATGCAGGTTAAAAAGTACAGATTTTCACGAAATTGATTATTCTGCAATTATTAATATAATTTTTTAATTGTTTTACTTTTGATCTGAGTTAGCACTAGTTTTTGTGTGGAAAATATATCTTTGTATAAAAAATGACTGATTTTAACTTAGAAGAAAAAGGCTGTATCACCAGAAGGTATGTATTTTGTATTGTTATTTATTTTAAATTATCCATTCCCACTTCCATATAAATTGTAATCATTGCCCAAAGGAAATGAAGACATAGAAATTATTATAGGGTTTTTTTTTGTTGTTTTTGTCTTTTTCATTTTTTTTATCGGTACGAGGGATCGAACTCACGACTGCCTGCTTGCAAGGCAGGTGCTTATGCCGCTGAGCTAAATCCCCAGCCCCGAAAATATTATAGTTTTGTCTCTGGTTTAACTAAGTAGTTTTCTGTGTGCACCTGCACAGCATGTCTAGCTTGTAGTCACTGATTCTATACCTATATTTTGGTTGTCCAGTACAGTAAATTTCTAGGGAGTGTTTACCATAAGGAACAAGTGCTAGATAAATAGCTTCTGAGACATAGTGTTTCAATCTGAATAAAGCTATCTGTCTTCTGCTTTTGGAGAACTTTTTTGTGAGGACACACTTCACATTCAGTAGTTACTGTTCTTTTCCCTCACTTTTCTGCCATCTCAAAACCCGCTTGCTTGTTTTATAACTCTTCATCACAGAGGTTAAATGTTGTAAATCTTCAAGATGTCTGGTCATAATGTATATTAATGGAATGATAGATTTGCTCTATATTCTGTACTCATGGTCTCTGATTAACTATGGATAAATTTTGTAATTGTAGTTTTGTGGGTGAATTTGTCTCTAATTTGTGAGAAATGACCTGCTTAGGCACATTCATAAAGAAGAGAACATTCACAATTAAACATTTATCCTGGTAGCTTTTGAGTAAATTACTTGTTGCAAGACCTTTTGTCAAGAGAAAGTTTTAATTCAGTCAAAAATTTAAAATGTTTAAAGTTTACTGTTTTTATGGTAATAACAGAAAAACAGAATTCTGCACATAAAATTGAAATCAGTATACTGAGAGAAACAAAAAACCAGTGCCACCAGACTGATTTTCTGAAAACTAAACAATGAGTTTCTCTGAGAGTAAAATATTTAACATTAAGATTGCGACATAGTTTGAGGAGTGCCTCCTTGGTCATTGTATCCTTAAAGATATGCCAAGAGTTGAAAAGGCTGAGAGGTTTCTGGTGTTTAGCTGTGTAAACTTGCTAAATGATCTTACCATTTTGGGTACTGAGTTCATAGTAAAATAGGATTAGACCATAGTTATCTCTTAAGATTCTATTTATCTCTAATATTCTCTGATCTTATTCTAATAGGCACAGAAATGAATGAATTTTAAATACACTTTTTAAAATGTTTAATCCGTCGCATTTTGTGGTAGACATGTTAACTTCTCATTCTTTTGTATATTTCCAGCAAGTTTCTAATGACTGTGAAGTGCTAGCTAACGCTGTCCACCACTAAGGGAGGATGTAGGATTCGTTTACCCTGTCTTACTGGTTGGTGGAGCTTGGGCTTTGTGGCTGGATTGTACCACTCTTATTATTTCTACCAAACCTTCGTGCAAACCAAACAGGACACTGCCCTCATCTCATGTTTACGTGAGATGGAGATGAGCAGCTCCTGGATACCAGAGGCTGTAAGAATTCTAAAATATCTTTGCCAGTGCAGTCATAGCGTTGGTGCTGAGCCAGAAACAGTTGCAGTCAAGAAAAGTCCTTGACATGTAAGAGCCCCCGTGGAAACACAGCAAACAAAGCTCCCTCGCCAGGCCAGTTCTGCAGGATGATTTCAGACTTCATCCTTGAGACACGTAGATAGTGACTAGAGTCTCTTTTTCACCTCATTCCTTCAATAAATTGCTCTTGTACTTTGAGTCAGTTAGTTGCCCGGGTTTCCAGATAAGAGCCCTGAAATAGTCAGATGGTTTAATATTTGTTTTCGTCATTTCTTACCCTGTGCCCCATAGCTGGATGGTGTCAGTCACGCTCCTTGCCATGTGTGTCCTTCCTACTGTTAGGTCTGAGAAGAAAGGGAAGAAGAGGGGAAGGGAAAGAGGTCCGTGGAAGGAGTGGAGTGGACGGCCGTGAAAGTAGTGGGCGGCGGTGGCTGCAAAGATAAGAAATATAAAATATAAGTAACCTTTATTTCGGGAATGCGGGGAGAGACCCCCCGGCCCCAGGGCGCAGCATCTCCACTGCACCCGGGCCGGTGGTCTCTCTCTGGAACACACTCTCCCTTTCTCCTTCTTCTTCTTCTCCTCTAACACGTGGAGTCAGGCCCATAAGTAACCTCTGTCTGGGGTGGACCCCAAGGGGCATTAGGGATGCACAGGTATTTCATTGGCACACATTTTGGCGCCAGGGTTACAGGGATGGGGATATAGGGTTACAGGCAAATCTATAGGGCTGCGGCTTTTCCTGGTTAAAGTGTCCGGTCTGGGCCAGCAACTCTTTCACCTACCATGGTCTTAGATCATGAGTTTTCCCTTCACTCAACTTTGTTCTTACAGTTTTACTCTCTCTTAATGCATAACCCCAATGCTCTTTCACTTGGAAATTTTGGCGCTATGTTACTCTCAGTTGCCTAGAATAGCTTTTCCCATTTTCCTTCTGCTAGTTTATTTCTTACTTGATTTATTACAGTTTCTAATTTTATTTATTTATTTATTTATTTATTAGTATTTATTAAAATTGAACCCATTGCTTCTTTCATAAACATACATACACAACCATTTCTATATAAACAAACAGTAACCAGTCAGCAAAACTTGTGCAGTGGCTAGCTGTGATGATGGTAAGGCTATGTACACATTGTTCTAGGCTCAAGTATAAAATTCTTGATTAAAACCTTAATGTGTGTAATCCAGATGGGTCTCGAGTTGCTGCTGTTCATCAAAGTTGATACTTAACAAAAATGTGGTGTGTTTCATCTTGTTTGTAATACACGTCCTAAATTGATAGATGAGCGGTGATCACTTACTAAGTTTCCTGAAAACAGTTGGCTCTCAGAGAGTAATCCTTGGACCAATACCCACATTGCCTGGAACTTGTTACAAGTGCAGATTTCCAGTCCCTGTTCCAAACTTGCTGACTACATTTCACTGTACTTTAATAAGCACTGCAGGTGATTCTGATGCACATTGATTTGTGAGCCAAGTCTGACTATTGATGTTCATGAATGTTCTGTAAAACTGGAAATTTTTTTTACCTTTTTAAAGAACTGTTTACAAAAACAA